GGTAAGTCAAGATAAGAATAAACTTAAGTGATTCTTGAGACTCAAGATAAAATCCCGATTGAAGAGTCTCTGTCAGCGTACTTTGGTTATGTTTTGTTTTTCTTTGCGTCTATGTTCATGGCTGGGTTTATCCCTTTTCAGTATACAGTATTTTCTGTGTTCTGTTCCTCTGAGTTTTCCCACTACTTTTAAATTTAAACTTGAATTCCTGAGTTCAGCTCCTTACACTGCAAAAAAAAAAAATGTCGACCTAACCAAGTTTTAAAATCTTATATCCAGCCAAAAAGTCATTTTTGATCTTGTTTTGAGACTGATTTACTAAACAAGAACTGATTGTGTCAGAATAATAATCTTGTTTTCAGAATGTGTAAGATTATTTGTCTTGTTAGCCTGAAAATTTGACTCAAATTAAGTCAAAAATTTCTGCCAATGGAGTAAGAAAATTTTACTTGGTAACATTCTTGAAATACTTGATTTGACTCAAGTTTTTCTTATTTCAAGAATCTTACCAAGTACACTTTCCTTACTCCACTGGCAGAAAGTTTTGACTTAATTTGAGTCAAATTTTCAGGCTAACAAGACAAATAATCTTACACATTCTGAAAACAAGATTATTAGTCTTACACAATCAGTTCTTGTTTAGTAAATCAGTCTCAAAACAAGATCAAAAATGACTTTTTGGCTGGATATAAGATTTTAAAACTGTTATGATTGTTGTCTGTATTAATGTTTTATTTTAGTTTCTGTCTTGTCATCTGTTTTCTTCCTCCTGTTTGCCTTTGCTCTAGCCCCGCCCACTCTCACCTGCTCCTCATGTTTCTGTCCCAGGTGTTTCCTGTTTGTGCTCGTTAGTCTCACCTATTCTGTGTCTTGTCTTCACTTCCCTGTCTGATCATTGTGCTGTTCACAGCCTGTCTTGCCTAGCTACACCAGCCTTCTTTGTTAAATAAATCACCTTTTTGCCTTTTTGGATTTTTGCCTGCGCTATGGGTTCATTCCTGCCTGAAAATCATAACAAAAACTTGGTAAGATGGACAGTTTTTGCAGTGTAGACTTTAGTCCTGACACTCACTATCACAAACTCAGAGGTTAAAGTAACCAAGTTAAGAAAACTTCATTACTTTACTAAAGTAGTTATCCATGCATTTCCTGAGTAATTATTTTACAGTCGACTGACTTTAACTCCCTACATTTTCACATAGTTATCTGTACTTTCTACTCTTTCTATTTTAAAATGTTTATGAAGTAGAAAGTTATGTCTTTTTCCTTTTGGCTTG